GTTCCTGCATGGACCGAATGCATGTTTCCTTGCAAGAGTTAATTATCTCGCGAAACCTGACTTAGTTTGGGCAAAAACAATAATTTGCTCCTGCCTTCGAAAATTAAATTGAAAGCAATGAACGCGCGAAACTTAACTTCTATGCTAGACTTAAAATTTATAACGGTAACACATAGCGAGAAACATTCCCATAAGATCCGCTTTTATCAAAGTTAAATACTAAATTTTTTTTTTTTTTTTTTTTTTTTTTTTTTTTTTTTTTGAAGCAGACGACACTCATCTAATTCGATTATTGTAAATAGTAAAAGAATCGACTCAGTGTATAAAGGAACCGTAGACCTTAAAGCTGCCTGTAAATATCGAATATTTGTCGAGCATATATTTCTCAGTTGTTCTTTTTTTTTTTTTTTGTACGTCATATTAGCTTCAAATTGTAATTATTTAATTAAAATTATGAAAAGCTTGAGCTAATTTAAGATTGAACTTTTTGTTTGCTTCAAGTGTTCCTCCTTAGGGTAAAGTGCATAATGCGCTCAATTAAATGTATGCTTCATTTTGTTTTTTAGACTAAAAAACATTATAATTCGGTCATAGCATCTGTAACATTCAAAAAAATGTTATTTATATGCGCGATCGGCATGAGAATAGTTTGAGTCGACTTTGCAATAAAGAACTTCAAGTGGGCGCGGTTCGCATGCAAACATATTTAAAAAAAAAAAAAAGAGAAAAGAAAAAGAGTTAATCAGAACCAACCAAGCAAGTTCACGAACGAAACAATCCCTAGTTAGAGCGAGAGTGTTTAATTGTACGCCTCAACTTATATAACTATAACTTTTTTTTATTTTTTATTTTTTGCTTCTTCATCTCTCTGTCTTCCTAATTTCTTGAAACAATTAATAACAATTACTTTTGCATATATGTAACAATATAACGCATACAAAATGAAATAAACCTCGTTTAATTCCCATTATGTATTTCCTGTGCTTTATATGTGCTTAACCTATAAACTGGTAAGCAAGAAAAAACAAAAAAAAGAAAAACCGTTGAAAACTACAGCAAAAAAAAAAAAAAAAAAAAAAACATGTGCATTATATAAAATACCTCCAACTTGGTCTTTCTAAATTTGCATAATTAATATATGGAAAAGTTTTTTTTCTTTTTCTTGGCTCTTAAGAAGAAGAAAATAAAATTTCTTATAGAGAAAAGCCGGATAAGAAAAATAATAAAAAAAATAAATAAAAATAAAAAAAAAACATGTAATAATAAATAAATAAAAAATGAAAAATGAAAATCATCTGTATTAAAAATAATTTAAATGTTTGCAACCACAGAAACCACTAGTGCTTGTTAAACCTAAAATGAACTCTGTAAGAATTTATATTAATTTTATAGTAAATTGTCTGAAACTTATGAACCGAACAAGCATTCTAGCGTAATAATAACGTTACAATCCCACTTACAATTGAGATGACGACGACAATGACGATGACGATAGTGATGACGACGATAATGATAATGATAATGATGATGCATGAAAGCAACTAGTAAAAAATTTGTAATAACAATATGGAAACCAACGAGAGATAGACATATTACTTACTCGATTTAGTAGTCATTCATCCTGGACAACAAAATTCTTAGCAGCAGCAGCTCAGGAGTCAGTAAAAAGGTCAACATTTTTATTAATTTTTCAAAAATACTGTAAAGCTGTTTACAGTTTACATTAAATGATACACACATACAAGTGTGCTTCACCTTATCACAACCAATGACACGTTTGGATGCATTTTCATTATCTAACGGATTTAATAAAAGACTAAGTCTAATATTAATCTTAATTTCATTTTAAAGAATTTGTGAAATATTCTCTAACGCATAGAAATGAAGGATGCACTTTTCTAACTAAAAAAACCCATTAATAGGTGGCACCATTCCTTTGAAAAAATTACTTAACTTTTACACAGAATGTATTTATATAAGTTCCACAAAAGTCGAATAGTTTTAAAGAGACCACGCGATTTGTGATGCAAAGCTATGCTGAGTTAATTAAGGAGGGCCTGAGCTATCACGAAAAAGACCCCTTTTATTATATCGATCGATTCAATCTCAAATTCTAAATTGATTTAAGTTTATCTCTCTGCCTGCCTGATGTCAGTTCCCGAGAGCTAATCCTCGTAAAATTTGACTTATTTTAACGAAATTGAATACACTGGCGGATGCTGTTGAAAATGGCTTAGATTGCATTAGATTCTGCAATCACTTCTCAAATAATATCTTATTTTGAGAAGCTCTTCTATGGAAAAAAAAAAATGCAACTTTGAAATTTCCTTCATAAAGTTCGATAACTGACTCGGATGAACCTCCACATAATTGTTCTTAGGAAAAATAATGACTAATATTTTCAATTTTAGACAAATGGTTCAATGATAGCAATTTGACATCGAAAATAATTGCACTATATTCGGAAATCACACAAGTCTCGGTCTTTGTATCTTTATCGCTCTAAGAATTGTTATGAAAAATATGCCCCTATATGGCAACAATGATATACCTTATGATGACAATAGGTAATGAATAATAATCTGCATAGTAAGAAAATCAGTTTCATATTAGCTCACCTTTTATATCACCTACCCTTTAAAGGTTCGCTTGCCCCTTCACATCAAGGTACGAGATATAATTTTTATTGATGTCATCAAAAATGGCATTTAATAATTGACTTTATCCGACTGTTTGTACTCGTTTTGTGTGTTATCAACTCAAAAAAACTATTATTCAAATGTTAAAATATTGAGTGAAGAGATTCCAAAAAGAAGTTGAATGAAAATGGAATCGTGGGGTATAAAGCCTCGAAGAGGATCTTCCGGGGTAGCAATGCTTTGAAAATTAATGTTTTTTGATGAAAACATTGTTGTTAGCAAAGTTAATAATCAAAAGATTCAACCATCGCGGTCTATAGCTGTTTGCCTTTTACCGGATAGATGGCGGATGCCTTTGCGGTAGTTAGCGCTTAGTTTCGAGGGAAAATTGTCCCCGACCCGTCTTCGCATATCTACGACTGTGCAAAACCTTTAGCCTGTTAAAAATGCCCGCAACAATCTGAACCGGTACTATTCGGACGAGGAGGTCAAATCTGCAGTACACTGAAATAAATATGCTCGTCATACTGTATGATTAAAAGCTATCTTTATTTGTATTTAAGAAGCTCGATCATTATTAGTCTGTCGCTCCAGCAACGTGCTTAGGTTGACATATATTGCTTAACCGTCCGAAATACAAGTCGATGGATATAAAGTGTGTCAATAGGTATACAATCATACTATAACAATTACTTATAAACATCATTATAAACATAATTAAAAACATACATTCGTTAGGTGGAAGTGAGACCATGTATCCAAAATGTAATGTGAGTTGCTATTATTACCTCACGCACTAATGTAATAGGACGCCAAAGTTCAACTTTATTGCATAATTTGCTATTACTGTCTGAGAAGTCGTAGTATTACTGGCGATAATGACTTTGAATTTATGCTACACTACATAGCAATTGGGAAATGCTTTCAGATCAAATTGAAGATTAAATCGCGGATCACCCTTGCCGAACCAACTCAATCATTTTCGTAGCGCTTAATTACATTCTGTCGAGTTTAGTTTAGTTGAAAATTGAAAAGAAAAGAAAACAAAAGAAAACAAATGAAATGCCATAAATGACATGCATCTCTCTACACTTCACTTCACTCCCAATGATAGCTTGACAAATAGCTGAAACAACTTATGCTGTACAAATACTAATGTCTGAGACTATCTAAGTGTATCCAATATTTCAGACGATTAGTTAAGCAATCAATTTCAATCGATTTACATAATTCATTTGTACGTCCAATAGGCCTGGGAGTCTTCCGACGTCTAATACACTCTTCTGCGGTTATGCGATCCTTATTCACCGCACAAAAACAAATCTGAGTGTATCACCGAACAAGATTTGTTACACATTATTGATCGATTCGCAATTAGGGAGCTTGCTATGAAAAGCGAATGTCCTCGATTACCTCGATAAAGGTTATATTACAATTTATAAAAAAGTTTGCCGAACATTCAACGCTATATGCGTTCGCATGTTTAAGGTTTTATTTAAAAAATGAATGCCATTTTTCAAATGAGTGAGAGAAACTTAATGCATATTAAAAAAGAAAGTTAAGCTCATCCGAATTCAATATTCATTGTATGCTAATTCATACACATTGCCTATCCCATCGTATAAAAGCCATGATGGACAGAATTGCAAATGTGTATAAACCATCCGTCGACACTCTCTCTGTCTACGCGTATGCTTTCCTATCATATTGTTTCAAAATTTATAAACTTGTTCACTGCGAGTATCTCTCGCCCCGAGCGCTATACATTCATTTATGCATTAATATTAGAACAGTCCTTGAAAATGAAATTTTCGATTTTCGGTCTTCTATGGAATTCTGCGAACAATTGCGCAAAAATTTTATACGTTTCCTTAAAAACGCTATTCACTAACTAATCTAAATGAACGAGACTTTTAAGGACCAGCATCGAATTAATGTTTACAATGTTCAGATATCAGTGCTTATGAATTTCTCTAAACGAATTTGCTGCTACACGTAAATGGTTGATGGTTAACGGTTGACGGTTGATGGTAAAGCTCTTTTTAATATTTAGGTTTGAGTTTGTGGGTCAATGGGAGGTAAAGCTAATGGACAAGGCAATCGAATAAATCGTTATGTTATAGATAAACAGGCAGACAAATGCACACAAGCACAAACGTATTGATGGTTACATTACTTATTTGACTATAGTTGAGGAATACGCTTGAAACTGGGTTTCGGTATTTTGTTGTAAAGATTAATGAATTGACATCTGAATAAAAGGGTTAATGATGGGGGGGATATACAATGTGCTTTCTATTTTGGTGAAAATTATTAAAGAAAAAAAATTCTTTCCTTTCTATTCTCTTTTCATGCTAACAGATATCGTTGGATAAAAAATGGCAAAAAGTTTGATTGGCAGGCATATGATAATCGTATGCTGCAACAGCCCGGACGTGGTACATTGGTTATAACTTCGCCTAAAGACGAGGATTTGGGTCAATATCAATGTTTCGCCGAAAATGAATACGGTATAGCTACCTCCAATTCGGTTTTCGTGCGTAAGGCAGAATTGAATGCTTTCAAAGATGAAGCTGCCAAGACGGTGGAAGCCAATGAGGGTGAACCATTTTCGTTGCAATGCGAGGCACCGGACGGTTGGCCCAAGCCTACAGTTAACTGGTTAATACAACAATCCATTGATGGTGGCATTAAATCGATTAACAATTCACGCATGACTTTAGATCCTGAGGGTACTTTGTGGTTTTCGAATGTAACTCGCGATGATGCTTCGGATGATTTTTATTATGCTTGTTCAGCAACTTCTGTATTTCGTAATGAATATAAAATAGGTAATCGGGTACTCCTGGATGTTAAACAAACGGGTATTAGTGCGGGTCAAAACAAAAATGCCCCTAAACGTCAATACGTTACTAGAAAAAATGAAGTCGCTTTACGAGGCAAGCGTGTTGAATTGTTTTGCATATATGGCGGTACACCTCTACCACAAACGGTTTGGTCAAAAGATGGTCAACCTATAAATTGGAGTGATCGAATTACCCAAGGTCATTATGGTAAATCACTAGTTATACGTCATGTGAATTTCGACGATGCCGGCTCTTACACCTGCGACGTCTCCAATGGTGTAGGAAATGCTCAATCGTATTCGATTAATTTAAAAATTCATGCCATACCATATTTCACTGTCGAACCGGAAATACAAAATGCTGCCGAAGATGAGACTGTTGAGTTCCGTTGCGAGGCCGTTGGTTTCCCAGAACCCACTATACATTGGATACACAATGGTAAACCGATTAGTGAGTCGCCACCCAATACCAGACGCACCGTAGAAACTAATCGCATTATATTGAGTGATTTGGTGAAGAAAGACACTGGTAACTATGGTTGCAATGCTACCAATTCCTTGGGTTATGTCTACAAAGATGTCTATTTGAACGTGTTGGCTTTACCACCAGAAATTGAAGAACCGCCACGTAAGGAAGCCACAGTAGATGGTAAAGACATTACAATGCGTTGTCGAGTATTTGGTGCACCCAAGCCTCAAGTGAAATGGATACGCAATGGCCTAGAATTGACCGGTGGTCGTTATTCCGTAATGCCCTCAGGTGACTTAAAAATAGAGCAGGTAAATTTCAATGATGCCGGTGTTTACACTTGCTATGCAAAGAATAAATTTGGCGAAAAGTCCGCGAATGGTTCACTTATTGTTAAAGAGCACACACGCATCACTGAAAAACCACAGAATTACGAAGTAGCTGCCGGTCAATCAGCCACATTCCGTTGTAATGAGGCTCATGACGACACCTTGAATTTAACTATAGAATGGTGGAAGGATTCTCAACAAATTGATTTCGAAGCCGAAGCACGATTTGTAAAGACAAACGACAATTCTTTAACTATTGCGAAGACTATTGAACTGGATTCAGGTGAATACACTTGCATGGCCCGCACAGAACTGGATGAGGCGTCAGCTAAAGCTAATCTAATTGTTCAAGATGTACCGAATGCACCCTTACTTAACAATGTACGTTGTTTGCCTCGGCATGCGGATATCACCTGGGAGCCTCAGGGCGATAATCGCTCTCCTATCCTTCACTATACCATACAATATAATACATCCTTTACGCCAGCCACATGGGATGTAGCTTTCGAAAAAGTACCTTCCACAGATTTCTCGTTTATGGTCGACATGTCGCCTTGGTCAAACTATACGTTCCGTGTTATAGCCTACAATAAAATCGGCTCTTCTCCACCATCTGGTCATAGCCAAACTTGTATTACTCAACCGGACGTGCCCTACAAGAATCCAGATAATGTAGCTGGTCAAGGCACTGAGCCTAATAATTTAGTAATTACGTGGACGCCTATGCCGGAAATCGAACATAATGCACCAAATTTTCAATATCGCGTGTCATGGAAACGTGATATACCTGCAGCATCGTGGGAGAACAAAGACATTTATGACTGGAAGCAAAGCAGCTTGTTAATCACCGATCAGCCAACGTTTGAACGATACGTCATAAAAGTAGCCGCTATAAACGAAAGAGGCGAGGCCAATGTGGCTGCTGAAGAGATCATTGGTTATTCTGGAGAGGATCGTTAGTATTTAAACTTCGGTCTCTTTAGTGTTTTTAATTTTTTGTTGGTAATTCTGTGTTTTTTAGGTCCTCTGGAAGCTCCTACTAATTTCAGCATGATACAAGTAACTGGTGCTACTTCAGCGATTTTAGGTTGGAACCCTGTGAGCCCCAAGTCGGTACGTGGTCACTTTAAAGGTTATAAAATTCAAACGTGGACTGAGCAGGAGGGGGAAGAAGGTCTACGTGAAATCCATGTAAAGGGTGATTCAAACCAAGCTTTAGTAACGCAATTCAAACCGGATTCTAAGAATTTTGCTCGCGTGTTAGCGCATAATGGACGCTTCAATGGTCCGCCAAGTGCGGTTATAGATTTTGACACCCCTGAAGGAGTACCTTCGCCGGTACAATCTCTAGATGCTTATCCTATGGGCTCATCAGCATTCTGGCTGGTATGGAAGAAACCTTTGAATCCTAATGGAAAATTAACCGGTTACAAAGTCTACTATGAGGAAGTAAAAAATAGCTATGTGGGTGAACGCCGCGAATATGACCCCCACATCACAGATCCGCGGATAACTTCTATGAAAATGGCTGGACTGAAGCCCAATACTAAGTATCGTATTTCAATAACTGCTACTACCAAAGCCGGTGAAGGCACCGAGTAAGTTCGATTCATTTTACAATAATTCGTATATCGAATTATGCAACGTTTTTTTTTTACTTCTTCTTTTTCTTCCTCTTCTTCTTTTTCCTCTCATTAAATAGTCATTTCATTGAAAAACGAACTTTGGCCGAGGATTCCCAAGAGCCAGCTGTGCCAGCCTTTGAGTTCGAGCAACAACCATCGGAAAATGGATTAGCTAAGTTTCGTATTAATTGGAAACCTAATACAGAAGGTCATGCCGGCACTCATTTCTTTACCAAATATAGGTAAATCATGATTAATCATGATTTGTAACAATCTAACAATGATCCATTTCATTTATGTTCGTGCGTAGAATCAAAGGAGAGACTGAATGGACGAACGCTCCTGAAGAAAAAAATCGAGATTATCAGGAAATCGCTGGTCTGGATCCGGATACCGTTTATGAATTCCGCGTAGTAGCGGTGGATGGTCATTTCTTTACGGAAAGCGTTACACGAGAAATCGATACAAATGGCGTGGAGGGACCAATTAAAGTGCCCAATGAAAACCTCGCAAATGCCGGCTGGTTTATCGGCATGATGTTGGCTTTAGCCATCATTATAATTTTGTTTATAATTATTTGTATAATACGACGCAATCGTGGAGGCAAATATGATGTACACGATCGCGAAATGCAGAACGGCAGACGCGACTACCCCGACGAGGGCGGTTTCCACGAATACTCACAACCGTAATTGAACTCACAGACAACAATTTTCTTTCATAATAATTTGAAAACTTCACATTTCTCCCTTTTATAGTTTGGATAATAAAAGCGCCGGCCGCCAATCGGTTAGTTCAGCAAAACCAGGGCTGGAAAGTGATACAGATTCCATGGCCGAGTATGGTGATGGTGATACAGGTAAATTTTAAATTATTTTCACTTTTTTCGTTTAAATATTTTAATAAATTTTTTTTTTTTTTTTATTAAATATATTTTTTGTTTGTGTAACTGCGTTGTTGTTGAAAATGAGCTCAGCCGTGATCAAAGTGACACCTTTACCTACTTTATATGAACATTAATCTACTATTTCTACTATTCTTCTCCAAGTGGTCTTAAGAAATTAATTTTGAAAATATGTTTTTTATAATTTCCTTCTTTCATTTAAAACAAAAAAACTTTTTTGTAATATTCGAGGTAAATTTTTTTTTTTTTTTAATCTTTAAGTTTATTTTATTTTGCATGAAAAACCCTTTCAAAACGGCTCAGTTCACACTAAACATTCATTCGTAGTAGCTTGGTATGAAAAAAATTCTTTTAATGTCTTATGCATTATCGACATTGTTTTTTACGTCGACATCAAGCTTTAAAATTTTATATATCAAATCTTCTGGCAGTGTTAATTGCATAGATAATTAGTTGTTTAATGCAAAAAAAAGGTCAAAGTTAACGCCGCGGAAAAAAATTTTTAATTTAATAATTTACCTTTAAGAAGTGAAAACATTGTAGTGGCCCACGGCCCATTATTAAATTCCCCGCATCTCCCTATAGCTATTCATATATTCACTTTTCAAAATAAGGCGGTACATAGGAAGTGGTCGAGGAAATGATCCGATCCAAACCCTTTTCAATAACATACATCTTTCGACCAAAAGACGAGACCAGTGTACCAAATTTCATCCAAATATTTTCAGGTCTGTAGATTGAACATAAAAATATAAGACAAACAGATAGACAGACAGACAAGCTCAATTCAATTCACAGAATGATTTTCGAAACGATCAGTATAATAAAAGGTGAATTTATCTGAAGCCGTTCTGGGTCCGGATATATTCGCACAAACTATGTACGGCAAGCGACATAAAGTATAACAAGTGGTCTGGAAAGTTGATGTTTTTCGTTTGTAAATCCAAACTTAGAGAGCCAGAAATTGAATTTATTTTAAAAAGGTTGCAGTTTGAAGCCCATTGACTCATATTTTTATAACCTGCACTAAAGGTGGTACGATGTCAAAGTCCATTTGACTATTCGTCAGCAACACTTGAATTTACTTCCTAGAACTCGGGAAATGTATACATTCTCGATCAGCAGAAAATTTTGAGTCAATTCAACCATACTTATGACTTCGTCCGCATGGTAAACACTTAGATTCAACCCTTTACTATAAAAAGCGGAACGAAAATTTTGTCAAAATCGTAAGATCAAGAAGCCGTCGTATTCGCTTAAAGTCGAATCATTTAATGTTAGATAGAGCAAAAGTTCAGTCTCTCGAAATATTGGACATATATCGAAGCATACATACCGTATATCTTATAATTTTCAAATAGTATTTTTATACGATTAGGTTGTAAGTAATACATTCTTGTTTATATGGGTTTTTCGCCCATGGATATATTCAGATGATTTTTAAGCTCAAGTCGACAAGATCAAATTTGTTATTTGTCAAGAGAAGGCTATACATCAGACAGGCTATAATGTTTTCCAAAGTTCGCGCAGGAAGTAAGTTGAATGGAAAACACCGTTTTTTATGATACCGTTTTCAATAAATATAGCTGGTAAGAGGACATTGGTTGAATTGTTTCTCGGACTGTGGTGCATCGGGTACCGATTTGTTGAAATTAATGTCCATATCTTATAATTTCGGCGCAAACAACACACGATCAGCTGTTATTGCCCTAAGCAGCTGTACTCTCGTAGAAGAATGGTCCGATAATGCCTTGAACTCCATATTCGTAGATGCAGTCCTTTCCCTTTATGAATTAGAGCCGACTTTCCGATGCATATGTAAGGACCACAGAATGGAACGAAGCAACATTCAACTCAATTAAAACACCCACACACACTCCCTTATACAATCAGTTAAAGGGCACATAAAAAACTTTTGCTTACTACTAGGCTTTGCCTTATATATAATAGTGCAAAGACTTTCTGAGCGTTGCCACAGTATGAAGGAAGATGTTGAAAAAGTAAAAAATTGCATCTCAGAACGCTTGCCTCAAATTCAAACGAAATCTCTTCCCGAGACAGTATAAGCAAACGCGTAACTAACGATAAACTTTCCTACTTGGCTATAGAACTTTTCATGCTTCTGTTGAAATTATTATGTTGTTGTTTTTTTGATTACATAAATTGTTTGTGAATTAAGTTAACTGTCACACCTAACACAATTCCTAGATGCTTTTGGGAAAACTCTACTTTAAACTTTAAGTGGCTTTTTTTGTTAAAATTTTTTTTTTTTTTTATTTTTTTTTTTTGGTTTTAACATTGAAAAGTATTAAATGTTTACAAATCTGGATTTATTGTAATTTAAATTGTTAATAATAATAATAATAATAATGGTAGTCTTCTGTATAAATACACATTGATAATGGTTTTGTTTTATAGGAATAGAAAGAAATGTTTGACCTAAAAATGTTATATAATATATATACACCTTTTCAAATCGATGACATAAGACCCTGATTCGGAATTTTTCTTTCTTTGCTCAACTATCCTTTTTTGGCGATATATACTTCACGCCTTTATTTCTTCACGGAATATTAACCATGACGCAGTGAAAACATAGCAATGGTTGCAAAATAGTACAAATAAATTTTTTGTCATTACCCCTTTAAACATTAAGAAAATCAACTCATCAATAACAAGTACAAACACTGTAACGGGAAACAGTCCACCCTTATTAAGTTGTTCGGAAATTAATTTCGTCAAGATAGGACCTAATTGCATTTTTTCCAGTCAACTTCGCACTTAAGCCGCATAATCATTATATATTTTAACAACTGATATAGCGAGGCTTATTTGTGGAAAAGTTCGATTGCTTCTGTCGAGTAGTTTTTGGTTGCCGTCCATTCAAATATGAAAACTGAAAAGCGGAATTTTCGGCATATTTTCCTTTATTACTTTCGAAAAAATTATTCAATGTGTATGGAGAAGGTGATAGAACGCCAGTGTCAAAACTGGTTTGCATAATTTCAATCCAGCAATTTTGATCTTGAAGATGTAGTACGTTCTGGAAGGCCAGTTGGAGCTGATGACGACAATATAAAAGCGTTCAAATGGTCGACTAATGACTTATGAAACCGCTAACAGGTTGAATTTATCCATTTTCAACTTTTGTGATTATATAAAACGTGTTGTATTTTGACAAAAAGAAAACATGCACTCTGAACAATCCAACAAATGTCTTATACGAACTCGCTTAATACAGTATTTCATATAACCACTTTTCCGATTTCTCAGTCAGCCAAATTTCATCAAAATATCTCAAAAATTTGCGGCCTGTTGGTTAAACACAAAAAAAAGGAAACGGACAGACGGACAGACAAACTTAAAACGCTTCAGGAAATGATTCCGGTGTAATATAAAGTGAGTCTATCTTAAGTCCTTTTCGCTGTTGCATATATTCGCAAAAAGGGAATAATCTATACGTGTACCATCAATGGTGTAGGTGTAGGATATAATTACAGGACATTGCTAAACATTTCAGATCCACTCTATTGTAATTCATATGTAAGGTAAATAAAGCGATAGCTTCAGATAAAACTATAGCTTTGAGGAGAAAAGGAAAACGGACGTTAGTTCCACGCATACAATCGACAAAAAAAAATCCTAAAGTCCTTCATTAGTTTATGCTATGCGAAGCTATAAAAAATAACGAAAATTTTTATAAAATTCTTTCTTTTCCCACACATTTTTAACAATTTCTAGGAAAATAATATACATTTCCCGAACGGAATGGAATCCTAAAGATAAACTGTATTTTACGGACGTAAGCAATGAGAACGAAATTGTATATATAACAAGAGTATATGTGATAAGATCTGATCTACACGAAATTCGCTAAAATGGATTAACGTAATTCCTGGAAAAATTTAAGTGCAACAAATCTTGCATCTAATTTACTTTTTGCCGGTCCCCAGTTGCTTATGGTTCAGCTTTAGGAAAACATCAAACTGCAGTAAATTATATTGATCATTATTGATTATATCGATTATTAAGTGTTGTTTGCAATAATTGCAGAGTCTCGTTTAAGCTCGAAACATTTTCTTCCCACGTGCTATTCATTATTTATTACATCACTTGTACAAGCCCCAACGCAATGTCATTCTGATAAATTATCGTTTTAAATATGGCGTTACTTCACTATGAATAGCCATTGGGTTCAAACGTGCTTGCCGAGCCATGTTTTAATGGCGCACGATTTTGAATAATTTCCAGTTTTAAAAAACTAAAGAAATTATGCTCGCCTTGGTAGGGTTTTCAATAGCTGGCGTACTGAATGCTAAGATAGAATAAAGAAATCCATTTATTCGCTATATCGATCACATATTTTAAATTATTTGCAATTAATGTCCTACAAAACCTCGGCTAATATATTTTTTCATTTATTTTTGTGATACGAAATAAGAAAAATTATAAATAATATCCAAGTGAGATATGTCACCTATTCGCGTAGCGCTGTCTTAGTGGGAAAGAAGTGGGAAAAGAGAAAGAATGAAAAAGATAGGGAGGAAGTGGCTGCAGCATAATGGATGTGTACGCAAACAGGAAAAAATATCCCTTTACTAAGCGACTAAGCGTTCACTTAGCGTTACGACCAAAGTGAAGTCTACCGCACTGGTATTTGAACCTGCGAACACTGACTTGATAGCCGCTATTCTTACATACTCGGCTCACTCATGCGAATCATAATAGCTTTCGCCGAGAGGTGAGCCCCCCCACCACATTACTATGCCACTCTGCGACAATGGCAAACATGCTTCTAATTTCTGTCCCTTATACGAATGTAAAGAAAAATATAAATAAGAAAAACCAAATATCGATTCGGTTTGCTGCTGCCAATGTTACTGCTACCGAAATCTTGATTCATTTCATCCGTTAACTAATGCACAACATACGCGAGAAGTCAGAATATATCGGAGTAGATATTATCCGTGGGTTGAAGTAGGTTTGGAAAACAAAAAAAAGTCTCCAGCCAGGGGATAAGTAAGTAGGTAAGAATCGCTACTGCCATGTCTGTATTCGCGGGTTTAGATCTCCATGTGGCAGAATTCACTTTAGTCATAGTTATGGTGAGTGCTCAGCCGGTAAAAGCACAACACTTACCACTTACCAATTGGACACACACCTACTAGGCTGTGACCGCTTGCCCGTCGCTTTGCGACCATCACGAATAGAGGACACCTCCTGAGTGATTAATCATATAGTCAAAAAAAAAAAAAAAAAAAAAATCAATCCGTACAGATTGCTTCGTACAATTACATGATTTCATCAGCGGCATTTCCAATTGGGACGTTCTAATGCAATCATCTATCCATCATATATAATGACACATGTGTTTTTAACTGCGCAATTAACTGCAATTTACCGTCAAATGTCCCGTGCCGCATGAGAAACTCAAATATTCGCAGGAAAGGAAAATATCAACAGATACGTTACTAAAGTCCTAAGTCGTACGAATCCTCTTGCTCGCTCTTTTTCCTTAACGGAGAAACACGCTCCTTTAAAATGCATAGGCACTACGGGTATGATGATTTGCGCTGGCAGTCATCACCAGGTACAAGATTTTAATGCTTGTTGTAAATTCCGTTAATATGAAGATTTAATAAATGAATGGACATTCAAACCAAAAAAAAAAATAAAAAATAAAAAGCATGATATATATATGAATGATATATTGAATGAATGGATCATTTACTTTGTCGTTACGCACACAAGCTGGGTGATGGATGGGAATAGGTTTACTTTCCACTTTACCTAGCTTTCGAAGATCTCGTATTGTACTCACACATGTGCTCATTTTCATTCAACGTAAATAATCGAATTTTTAATCTTTTCAAAAATTAAACAAAAAAAAAGAAAAATTATTTTCCTCCCAAATATTTTATAAAATAATTTTTGCTTTTGTTTTTTATGTTTTTTTTTTTTTTTCTTTCAAATTTTCTTTTGTTTTTTTGCTTTTTTATATTCATATTTTAATCAAAATGAAAATTAAAACCAAAAAAAAAAACTAAATAAATAAATAAACAAAATACCAAACTCATGTCATGAATTTCATCAACGACTGCGTCATCGGAAATTTAATGTGCCCATCAACACTGCAATTCGTACGATTACTACTGCGTGGCTACGATTCTCATCTAAATTGATATACAAAAATAAAATTAGGTATGAATGAAGACGGCTCATTTATTGGCCAATATGGACGTAGGGGCCTTTGATTTAGTTAAATAAAATAATAATTTAAAAAGAAAAACAAAAAAAAATAAAAAATAAAAAAAAAGATATATAAAATACAATAAAATAAAATGAAGACACCAGTAAAACCCTCCATATCCCATAAAAAGCACACTTTTATCTATTAATTAATTAATAATAATATGTTATAATAATTAATTTGAATTTGAGTTTTAAGTGCAAAAAAAAAAAATTAATAATAATAATAACAATAAAACTGATAATCATCACATGTAAAGTTTTTTTTATAATTATATTTTAATTTTTATTAAATATATGTTAAAACGGAAGTACATACAACTGCCAGCAGCTAATTTTAGTTTTTAATTTAAATTTAAAAAAATTAATGAATTACAAATCATTGGCAACAAAAAAGCAGCTATTCACATTTTTAATTATGTATGCATTTGTTTTTAAGTTTTTATTTCTTATTTTTGTTTTACAATTTTTTTATTTTTTTTCAAGTTATAATGAAATGTTTTTAATAATAATTCTCTTATCCTTGCTTTTTTACTCGTGTAAGTGTATTTAGTTTAACTTATTTTAGTTTTTGTCCTACATATAACGCTCTCTTTTTATTTTTATTTTAATTTTTTTTTTTTTTTTTTTATTGTTCAAGCAAAGTTTATGTGAAAGTGTTTTTTTATACACATACATTAAAAATAACCTAACACATTTTACAAAATAAATGAATATTTTTTATTTATTTATTTACTTTTTTTTTTGTCTTTGTAAATTAAAAACATTTTTTAAGTTTAATGTGTACCTCTTTCGTATTAAAAATGAAAAACAAAAAAAATATAATTAAAAAAAAGAAAAAGAAAACTATTTTTGTTTATTAATATTTGACTGAACTCACTGTTTATCCTTGAATTTGTTGACTTGAATGTGTAACAATTTGCCGCTTAAGCCAAGGTAGAGTTATTTTTTCTTACTTAATTAATTACTAACTCATTAAAGTGATCCTGTTTTTATTAATATATATTTTTATATAGTTTTTTTTTTTAT